AAAAAGTAACTTAAAAATAACTTAAAGTTACTTTTTCAGTAACTGTAACTGTAACGAATTACTTTTCAGAGTCAATAACTCTTGTAACGGTAATTAATTACTTTTTGAAAGAGAAAAACTGTAATTGTAATTAATTACTTTTACAAAGTAACTTTCCAATCCCTGGTAATTAAGCATAAAATATACGACAGAAATCAGGAACTGGTGCCGTGCGCTGACCCATTTGAAGAGTTTTTACTTGAAAGTGAGCAAGAAGCGAATATGAAAAGAACGCCTACGGCAGTAGAGAATAGTAGAGATAGACGGAATCTACAGGATCGGTAGGAACTGCAGGATCGTTTAGTATTGATATGAAAATTGACTTATAAGAACAGTGAAAGAAATCAAAGATGATACAGCCTGTAAAAGGGAAATTAAGATGATGTTAATGAAGTAGTTCGAGAAGAATTGAAGCAAGAACTGGAAGATTTGAGAAAAATGATACAGGAAGTAACACGCGGATCAATGGATGGAGTGCAAAGAAGCTATAGTGAAGCGGTCAAAGAGAAGAAGAAAGAAAACATTATTTTTAAGCATAATTGTTAAGCCGAAAATGCAACAAGAGAGTGAAACTACAAAAAAATTGATAAAAGAAAAGGTGGATATTAAGAGCATGGCTATGGGTATAACAAAATTAAGAAAGGGAAGCAATGAAACAGTGATCATGGGTTGTGATACCGGAGACGAGATGAAAAAGTTAAAAGAGACAGTCAAGCTAAGCTGGGAGAAAATTATAATATGAAAGAGCCACCACAGTCAAGATCAAAGATAAAAATTATTAATATTGACATGGAAGAAATGAATTTGGATGATAATGAACTTGTAAATATAATAAAAAAGCAGAACAAAATAGATGCAGTAAATATGTGTATAGTAAAAAGAATAATTAAAGAGAAAAAAAATCAATCTGGGAGAGGAGAAATGGAAGTAGGATCAGTAATAATAGAGTTAGACGAGAAAATGCACGAGCTGATGTTGAAGAAAGCGAAATTAAGTATAGGGTGCAAGAAATGTCCTATATTTGATCATATTAGTGTTAAAAGGTGTTTCAAATGCTGGGGATATTATCATATTGCAAAAAACTGCAAGCGAGACGAAACATGTCATAAATGTGCAGGAAATCATAACTCGATCGATTGTACGGCGACAAAGAAGAAATTGTGAATTGTATGTACAAAAATCGAGCATACAAATTTGAAGATAAACGAAGAACATGATGCACTTAGTCCAGAGTGTCCGACTTATAAAAGGGCGATACAGGAAGAGAAGAAGAGAGCTGGCTGGGAGGACACTAAATAGCAACCACAGAAAGAAGCGGAGTTATTATTATATACGAATGCACAAAGCTTAATGGCACATGAAGATGAGATTCAATACCAGGTTATGAAGAAAATAAATCCATCGTTCTTAGCATTATCGGAAACCAAATTAGCTGAAGAAATTGAGTGTATGTTCCAGGTTATAGTATGATTAGATGTAATGCCGAGAATAGAAATACAGGAGGAGTTATACTATATGTAAGAGATGGTATTAAATATGAAGTAATGTTAACGCAAAAATTAGAATCAAATTGTTGATGTGTTGCGGTAGAAGTGAATGAAAAATTATACGAAAGAGTGATGATGGTAACATATCACTCACCGAGCGCGTCACGTGGTGAATTTATCAGATTTTTGGAAGATATAGTAGAGGAACTAACAATAAAAGGAGAATGTATGGTAATAGGAGATTTTAATATAGATCTTAAGACTAACTCGTTTTATGTGAAAAAGTTGCAAACAACAATGTTGAGCTTAGAGATCAAGCAGTGCGTTAATGAATCGACTAGAATTATGAAAGACAGTCAGACAATTATAGACTTACTCTTTACCAATAATAATAAATTAGAAGTACAGGTAAGTCATGAGCCTAAAATTACGAATCATGGTTAAAAGTAGAGTTGAGTAAGAATAAAATTAAAAATAAATATAAGGAGTTTATTGCTAGAAATTATAAAGATTTTGATGTAAATAAATTTAATAGGCTAGTAGAAAATAAACTGAGAATAAACCAAGACATGGATGTCAGTATGAGAGCGGAAATTAGGTGTTAAATTTAATTCCTGCCGCTCGCTACTAGAGGGTGCTGGCTCCAACGCTGGTGAGTTTTGACGATGAAGTCATATGTCTTTTGTAGTTTAGACATCGCTGAAAGTGATTCAATCCTCACAGATTAGATTTCTCGACGCCAAAGAGATCGAAAATGAATCGCGATAAGCTGTTTTTCCGACGTACTTCTTCACTACTTCGACCTCAAGAAAACTGCAGCTGAAGCGCATCGCTTATTATCCGAAGTGTATGATGATGAAACTCCATCGAAAAGAACATGTAGAGTTTGGTTTGAACGCTTCCGAAACGGTGATTTTGTTGAGAGATAAAGAACGTCCAGGACAGCTGAAAAAATTTGAAGATGTCGAACTGCAAGAATTGCTTGATGAGAATCCAGCTTAAACGCTTTTAGAGTTGTCGAAACAGTTAAATGTAACTCCAATGGCCGTCTCAAAACGCTTGCATGCCATGGGAAAGATCCATAAGGAAGGGAGATGGCTACCACATGAGTTG